GCTAAAATTAACAAGTCAGGAAACAACAGATGTTGGCAGTGATGCGGAGAAAGGGGAACCATCCCACACTGTTGGTGGGAATGCAAGCTGGTGCAGCCACTCTGGAAAACAGTATGGAAGTTCCTCAAAAAGTAGAAAATAGAGCTACCCTAGGACCCAGCAATTACACTACTGGGTATTTACCCCAAAGATACAAATGTAGTGATCCAAAGGGGCATGTGCACCCCAATGTTTATAGCAGCAATGTCCACGATAGCCAAACTATGGAAAGAGCTGAGATGTCCATTGACAGATGAATGGATAAAAAAGATGTGGGGGGTGTGTGTGTGTGTATATATATGTATACACACACACACACACACACACACATATACATACAATAGAATACTATTCAGCCATCAAAAAAATGAAATCTTGCCATTTGCAATGACGTGGATAGACCTAGAGCGTATCATGATAAGTGAGATAAGTCAATCAGAGAAAGATAATCATATGAATCTCACTGATATGTGTAATTTAAGAAACAAAACAGAGGATCATAAGGGAAGAGAGGAAAAAATAAAACAAGATGAAACCAGAGAGGGAGATAAACCATAAGAGACTCTTAAATCATAGGAAACAACCTGAGGATTGCGGGCAGGGACGGGGATGGGGGGATGGGGTAACTGGGTGATGGACATTAAAGAGGGCATATGATATAATGAGCACTGGGTATTATATAAGACTGGTGAATCACTGACCTTTACCTCTGAAACCAATAATATATGTTAATTAATTGAATTTAAATTTAAAAATATATAAAAAAAGAAAAAATAAATAAATGGAATACCATACCATAAAAAATCAGTTCAGCCTATGCATGTGGGTCTAAATTTATATATAGAAATATATTTTATATTAGTTATATATTAATAAATATATTTAAACTATAAGAACATTAATTTTCTTCCCTTATTTAAGGCTACAAGCCTGCCACAAGGAATACTTCTTTAGGATAAATGTGTGGACATATGTTTTTACTTGCAGGAGGGCATCAATACCAAAGAGAAAAATTTCAAGGATCATTGGATATGTGTATATTTAGTTTTATAAAAAATACCTGTCAGATCTTTTTTCAAAGTGGCTATAACATTTTATACTCTCACTTATTTGCATAAGAGTTCCAGTTGCTGTCCTTCCTCACCAACATCTACTGTTTTAAATCTTTTTCATTTTAACCAATTTGGTGGGTATATACTATTGACATCTGCATTTCCCTTTTGACCAATAACGTTGAGCACTTTTTCATGTCCTTATTGGTCATTTGTATGTGTTTCCTTGTAAAGTGTCTGCTTTTGGCCATTTTTGATTGGATTTTTTGGCCATTTTTGATTGGATTTTTTGTCCTTTTGTTACTGACTTGTCAGTGTTCTTTATGTAGGCTGGACAGCTGTTCTTTGTCACATGTTTTTTTTTTTAGGTATTTTTTCTGTGTGTGGCTTACCTATTCATTTTCTTAACAGCATCTTTTGACGAATAGAAGTTTTTAATTTTGATAAAGTCTAACACATCAATTTTTGGTATTTTTCTTACTTCTATGCCCTATCTAATAAACCTTCATTTACTACCAATTCATGAAGACATTTTGCTCTATTTCTTCTTCGATAGTTTTAGCTTTTATATTTAGTTTTACAATTTATCTTGAATTAATTTCATGTACAATGTAATGAAGGAGTTGAGGTATATTTTCCCATATGGGTATTTAGTTGTTCTATTACAATTTGTAAAATTTCTTAGAGAAATGAAAATACTTTGTATGATACTATAGAATAGTATACAGTATAGATACTGTAGAATTTCTTTCTCCCATTGGATTGTTTTGGCACATTTGTCAAAAGTGAAATAATCATACAAATAGGATCATTTACCTGGCTATTTTGTTCCAGTGATCCACTGATGATCCATATGCCATTATGCATATAAATCTTAGAGACAGGTGACATTAATTCTCCACTGTTTGGACACTTTTAAAAGAGTCACTTTTTAGTTTATTATCTTTTTAGCTTCTATGTCTTTTTGTATTTATTTTTTAGTGGTTGCTTTATGAGTTATATATCCTTTTTAGTCTACATATATATATTGCATTATATCACATAAAATACAAAAAGAGTGCAACCATTTGGGTCTATTTACTCCTTCTCTCCATCCTTTATGTTCTAGCTGTCATAAGTTAAATCAACATACTTTATAAAACCCACATATAATAATTCCTACTTTAAATAAGAATATACAATTTTTTTAAATTCAAAGGAAAGAAGTCTTTTTTACTTACCCATATTTATCACTTATGGTATATTTTAATCCATCCTAAGGGCCCTGGGGTTCTGTTCATTTTTTTTTCAATGTTTATCTCTGTTCTTCAAAATGAATAATTTCTACTGATCTATCTTAAATTCACCAGTTTTTTCTATAATCACAATATGCTATAGAAGTCTATCCAGTAAATTTTTATTTCAGATATTGTATTTTTCCATTCTTGAATATCCAATTTTTAATAGTTTTCTGAGATATTCTATCTTTTCACTCATTACTAGCTTATTTTCCTTTATGTCATTAAACATAGTTAACAGCTAATTTGAAATCCTGGTTAGTTACTTCTATCACCTGGATCAACTCAGGGTTGGTCTCTGCTGACTAATCTCTTGAGTATGGGCCATGTTTTCCTGTTTCTTCCCATACCAAGAAATTTTGGGTTGTATCCTGAACATTGGGGATGTTATGTTATGGAGACCCTGAATTGTTATGTTACTCTAAAGGGTAGTGATTTTGACATTGTTTTATTTTAACAAGCAGTTAACTTGGCTGAACTCAAACTGTAAAATATGTCTCCCCTTGGGTAAGCAGCAGCGAAAATATCAATTATTTTGGCCTTTGATGGGTTATTTCAAGTCTTCCCTGTGCACATGTATTTCAGGAATAGGCCAAAGATTTGGAAAGAGCTTACATGCAAACTCTGAGCTCTTCCTCTCTGATCATCTCTTTTCTGGAATATTCTTTCTCAGAGGCTGCCTTAATCTATGTCCTCCAATCTTCAAGCCAAAAGACTATAGATTTATATCAGAGTTTTAGCTTCCCTGCATGGAACACACTGTACCCTGCCCTCAATCTAATAGCCTTAAACAAACAAAAATAAAAACCAAACCCCAGGGAATTCACCCAGTTCCATTCTCTTCTTTTAACTAAAAAAAATTCATAGCCTTTTAAAAAAATATGTCAGTTTTAGATTCATAGTAAAATTAAGCAGAAAGTACAGAGAATTTCCATATAAATTCTGTCTTCACACATGAATAGCCTCAAAATCCTGCACCAGAGTGGGACATTTCTTATAATCAGTGAACCTACACATCATATTCACCCTCAAATCCTTAGTTTATATTAGGATTCACTCTCGATGTTTATATTCTATGGGTTTTGACAAATGTATAAAAACATGTATCCACCATTGTAGTATCATACAAAGTATTTTCATTGCTCTAAGAATCTTCCATGCTCAACCTATTCTTCCCCTCCCACCCTGGCAAAAACAGATTTCTTTACTGTATCTATAGTTTTACCCTTTCCAGAATGTCATTTAGTTAGAATCATATAGTATGTAGCCTTTTCACTCCAGATTGGCATCTTTCACTTAGTAATATGCATTCTTTCAATATTTGACATTCCCTCTGTTATGTGCTTGGTTTTGGTCACTCTCCAGTGTTTTTAAGTAGTTATTCTGTCCAGAATTTATCAGTCACCTGAGGGAAGGCTGATCCGACATAAAATACTAAATCATGAACAGAAGAAAAAGTTTTAAAATACAAATTGGCACATTTAACAGTAATAAACAGAATTCTGGTCACAGCTCAAGATAGATGTATCATGGTTTATTTTAGATCGGCCTATAATTATTGAATTTTAGGGCTCAAAGAAGTCATAATGGCCAGCCAGTTTACCAACCAACAACAAATTTAAAAGTTGATCATAAGTCCCATCAGATAAAATGAAGGATTATTTCATTACTTATGATGTACAATATAGCAAAAAAAAAGATGATTACATTCTAAATATATACAACAAACCTGTCAAGGCTGTTTCACTTATGGATTTAATTTGTAGAAAAACTTCTCCTTTCAGTGAAGTCCAGTTTTGAAAATTATCATATACTTCATTTTTAATACTGGTTAGCTCCCTTTTAGTAAAAGTAAGTAATGAAAGAGTCTTATTCCAGAAATATTTGTACTCCACCAATCTTTGACTGTAAAATAGTTTAAAAAATTAGAAATTTTTAAAATAGCAAGTATAACAAATATTTCTTTGAAAAAATGGTTTTCTTTGAAAAATGGTTTGAGAATGACCATATAATCTACTGTCTAAATGGAGACAATTTTGAATGTAAAAGGAGGTGCTATTTGTATTTTGCTGAGATGACAGATATAAACTGGAACCATCCCAGGAAAACAGGTATATGGTCACCCCAACTCATTTCCATTATTTTAACTATAAAGAAAGACAGCTAACTTTTTCATACACATTAATTCAATTAATGTTTTAAATTCATTCAACAGTAAATACTTAGTGAAGAAAATTAGGTCAAAGTGACTTAATCACAGAGCCAAAATGAGAATCTCAGATTCTTAGACAGTATTCTTGCTACATACCATGGTTCTCCAGGTATGTATAAAACCTGGGATAATAAAGAATACCTTTTAAAGTGACTGATCTAGTGCTTTTGCTTCGTGAAATGTCACAGTTCAAAAGTAATCACAGATTTTCTGCAATCTCAGTGATTTTATTACTTCAGATGTTCTGGCTATAATTTACCTAATAATCAAAAAAGATTCAGGCATAAATCTGGGAGTTATTAGCAAAAAAATGATGACTGAAGCCATGGAATTGTAATTATTTGGTTAATAATTATCTTCTTGAATGGACTAAATCTATAATGCAGGGACTACATCTGTCTTATTCATCACAGTTTCCCAAGCACCTAGCACAGTACCTACCACATAGTATATGCTCAACAAATACTGATGAATGAATGAGTAAAAATAATAGATCACCCAGCTGGAGGAATGAAGAAGTAAGAAGTGCTGAGGATAAGACACTGGATAACACTAATGTTTTATGGGACTAAAACAGAAAAGAATCTCTCAAAAAAAAACGAGGGAGTAAAAGAGAAGAAGAACCAAAAGAATTAATATCTGAAATCCAAGAAATAAGAGAATTTAAACAAAAAAGTAGTGGTCAGTGTTTAAGCCTTCAGATAAAGGCTGAACAGAGTGCACTGTATCTGGAATTAAGGAGGCCTCTGGTGATCTCAGAGAGAGGCATTAGGTAGGAAAGAACAGAGAAACAAAGCAGAAGTGACAAAACAGGTGATACCAGCAATCAAGAACCTTGACTTAAGTGGCAAGAAGAGAAAGAGGAAAATACAGAGTAGAATGGTTTGTTAAGACAGGAGACACCTGAGTGTGCACACAGCTAAGTAACAATACAAGTACAGTCAGAGGCTAAATAAAAACACAGAAAAAAGATGCAGTCAATTTCTTGTGCAAAGTCCTAGAAAGGACAGAGGTAGGGCAGAGGCTGAAAGATTAGCCTTTGTCAGGAAAATGGGTGGTGTCATTCTACTGGTAACTAAGGTCCACCTGAGTGATGAGAAGCCACAGGAGATGCCTCTATCAGCCTGCAGAGCTGGGAGCTAAGAGAGATGCTAATTTCAAAAAACAGAGGAGGAGTCGAAATAGATCACTTAATCAAGGGGGCCAAAAGTGAGAATGGGAAGTCTGAATGTAGAACCAGAAACTGGTAAGACAGGGAGACAAGAGCTATGAACTAAGTCAAGGTCAAGGGGCTAATGGTTTGGTGTAAGGCAGCTCCTGAGAGTAAGCCATGTGCATGGGAGTCAGGGCTTACAAGAATATTTAACAGAAAAAAAGACTGGATGTGGATTCAAGTGCTTCTGTGGATTCAAGGGCTTCTGTAGGGAGAAAATTCAAGCTTGTTAGCCAAGAGCAGATCCATATTCTATGGAGTCTAAATCTTATATGATTAGTGGTGAGTGGGAGGAGAGCTTCCTTGAAAAAAAGAATATAAGAATGATGTCTACATGAGGCACCTAGGTGGTTAAGTGACTGACTCTTGATTTAGGCTCAGGTCATGATCTCAGGGTTGTGAGATTGAGCCCCACCTCTGGCCCCGTGCTAGGTGTGGAACCTACTTAAGATTCTCTCTCCCTCTCCCTCTGCACCCCCACTCTCTCTCAACCATTCTCTAAAAAAAAAAAAAAAAAAAAATTGGTGACTACAAAATTAGGTTAAAAGTGTGTAATTAGCCATAGAATGAGAAAAATCATTACAAATAAAAATGTTAAAGTTGATGAATTCCACTAATATCATAAAACACAGGAAAATAATATAACTTCCTAATAAGTAACAGCTCTACAATACCTTTTATTTTTTTAAGATTTTATTTATTTATTTATTTTTAGAGAGCAAGCATGTGCACCATGCGTCAGTGGTGGAAAGGGGTGGAGGGAGAGGGAAAGAATCTAGAGCAGACTCCGTGCTGTGTACAGAACCCAACTTGGGGCTTGATATCACAACTCTGAGATCATGACCTGAGCCGAAACCAAGAGTCAGAGGCTTAACCAACTGAGCCACCCAGGCACCCTCTTTGCAATTTTTGTCTACATGTCCTACAACCACTTGTCCATATGAGAACCAATTTATATAATACTTTATGTGGAGAAAATATAAAAATTATATAGCCTTTCATCTAGTATGGCCATTAGTTTTTTATTATTGGTAGTTTTGAAAGATTCTTTCAGTATGGTTCATTATTGATAACACTGTAAATATACATTGTCCAATTTGGAAAAAACTTATCAAATTTTTTTATATGATTATAAGATTAGGAACATTTCAAGTGTTTTCAGAAAATGACTAGGCTTAAATTGTCTTTGAAATGAGGAAGTTCATAAGCCAATTTATCTTAGATGTCCTTGAAGTGGTATGATTTTTATCTTGTATTCAGTGATAGTAGCTTTTGTAAATCGGCAAGACGCTTAAATCTTTCTTCAATGTGTTTGAATAATTAACTCCACTTCATTGAATGGATTATGAAATAATCCAAGAGCTTTTGTTTAAAATATCTTTTTCTTAATGAATTCACCTGTAATATAATCTGAAAAAAAGTTACAATTTTTATGTGAGAATAATTTCTATGTTTAACTTGATCTTTCTTGTTTTTATTCCATTAATTTTTTAAAATTCACACACATACAAATTTTTAGTCGGTGATGTTTTGCTTTTTTTTTTTTAAAGATTTTATTTATTTATTTGTCAGAGAGAGAGAGGGAGAACAAGCAGGAGGGGAGAGGCAGGCAGAGGGAGAAGCAGGCTCCCTGCCAAGCAAGGAGCCTGATGCGGGACTAGATCCCAGGACCCTGGGATCATGACCTGAACCAAAGGCAGATGCTTAACCAACTGAGCCACCCAGATGCCCCAATGTCTTGACTGTATTATTGAAGCATTCTAAAATGTCTTTCCAAATGGCAGCTTTAATAGTGTATTTTCAACTCAATTTTCCCTTACTCAGACTCCCAAAATATTTGTGACTACCCAATGGCACACCAACATCAGAAATTTAAGAAAGGGGAAATCAGAGTGGAAAAAGAATTTTAACCAATTACAATTAGGCCACCTTACTATTGCTAGGGGCCCTCTGAGAACCTTAGAAGTGGCTCCTGAGTGAAGGGATCTGAAATTTAAGCATCATTTCATTCACAGTAAATGATGTCTGTGTTTATAACATTAACTTCCTTTGTGAAATATGAAGGAAGACACAGCTGCTGAGAACTGAGTAGTCTAAGCAGAATAGTGAGGATTTAGAATAGTATTGTAAGAACTAAAGGCCTGGTGTTTAATAGTTGGTAAGTATGAAGACTGACAGTTGTAAGGGTAATGACAACTAAATGAGCAGGGGTAAAAGGAGTTGGAATATTGGTAAACTCCTCTAGACAGAAACATCCTCCATGTAGAAAATCCTAAAGAACATACACACACACACACACACACACACAGCCCAAATACTAGAACAAATAAACAGGTTCATCAATGTCACAGGTTATAGGATATATGATCCACATGCAAAAGTCAGTTTTACGTCTGTATACTAACGGTGGTCAATTGCAAAAATAAAATTAAGAAAACGATCCCACTCATAATAACAACAACAAGAATAAAATACTTAAAAATAAGTTCTAAAAGGAGTGCAAAGACTTATAAAGGCATAACTTGGAGACATTGCAGGTTTGGTTCCAGACCACCACAATAAAGCAAACTTCACAATAAAGTGAGTCAAATGAATTGTTTGGTTTCCCAGTGCATATAAAAGTTATGTTTACACTATACTGTAGTCTATTAAGTGCACAAAAGTATCATGTCTTAAAAAACAATGTATACATCTTAATTAAAAATACTTTATTGCTAAAAAAAATGCTACTGTATGCGTTTTCAGTGAGTCACAATCTTTTTTGCTGGTGGAGGGTGTTGCCTCAGTGTTGATGGCCTGCTAAAACTGATCAGGGTGATGGTTGCTGAAGGTTGGGATGACTGCGAAATTATCTTTTTTATTTTTTTAATGGTACAAAAAAGGTGACTTTTGTTTTCTTTTTTGAAAAAGGTGATTTTATTAAAGCATGGGGACAGGACCTGTGGGCAAAAAGAGCTGCTGCCCTGGGGTTTTGAGGATGACTGATTATACATTTGGGAGTTAGGGGAGATAAGGAAAAAGGGAGGTTTTCAAAAGGACTTTAATATGCTAAAGAGGACTTAAAATAAGACAGCAATGAAGTATGCCATGCCAATTGACTCTTCTTTGCACAAATGATTTCTCTGTAGCATGCAATGCTGTTTGAAAGCATTTTACCCACAGAACTTCTTTCAAAATTTGAGTCAATGCCCTCAAATCCTGCCCACCACTTTATCAACTAAGTTTATGTAATGTTCTAAATCTTTTTTATCATCTCAACAATCTTCCTAGCATCTTCACCAAGAGTAGATTCTATCCCAAGAAGCCAGTTTCTTTGCTCATCCATACGAAGCAACTCCTCATCTGTTAAAGTTATATCATGAAATTGTAGCAATTCAGTCTTATCTTTAGGTTCCACTTCTAACTCTAGTTCTCTTGCTTTTTCCACCACACCAGTTACTTCCTTCACTGAAGTCCTGAACTCCTCAAAGTCATCCATGA